TATAAATTATATATGACTTAATTTAAACCTTTTAAATACTTTATTGTACAAAAATCAAATTATTCCGCTTTAAGCAATTATTAATATATGTTTCTTAAACAAATTTATCCGATTAATTTATATATACATTAAAATTTTAATTCTGAACTAATATTAATGTAGTAACTCAACCAGAGGCACTATAATTCAATTTTTATGACAGGAAAATGCGCCAGCGGCTCAAATTCATTAAACAACTTGTTGATGTGATGATAACAATGCAATGTGTCGGCAAAAGATGTTATCACTGCGAAGATAGTTCATTATTATTCGCGCAAATATAAAGATAACATACAAGCTCGGCGACTATCTGCGTATCAAGCGGTATCATTTTTGAAAAAGGACACAACTCTAGCAGCTCTGTGTGTATCTGGTAATAGCTGTACACTGCTATCTATCTTACTTGCCATGTATGATATCCGCCACGTCTACTACTAGTGTAAAATGTCTGCTTGATAAATGCTACGGCAAAAGACAGAACGTATAAATTGATGAACCAACTAAGAATTCTATATTTTATAACCCTGTCTTCTTCTCGTAATGTTCCGCTCTTAAATACATATTTGTATCAATAAAAAAAAACTTAGAAAAACTCAAAAAATATCTATATTTTTAAAATAAAATTTATTTATAAGTTGAAAAATGTTCACTTCCTAATTTTTATTTACACATTTTAGTAAAAGTTACTTGTGAATTACACTCAATTTTTAATTAATTGCGACGTTTCAACAGGTTTTGCTTGTCGACTAATGTATAGTACGTTTTCTATTTTTCACTTATGTATTAAATACGTTATATGATAAAAAAACAATAGAAATAATGCAACAACAAAGCAATAAAGTATCTCGATTCCAAAGAGAAAAAGTTTTGCCACAGAAATTATATCAGTCGATTTCTTTGCATCAGAGAAAGATGGAATACAAACATCTACTGTGCAGAAGCAGAAGCTATTGACTACTTTCCTCTTTGGGACGTTATTGATCGTAGCAGAGTAACTGTAGATGCAATTGATCAGCTCTTGGCTCTAGAAAATACAACTTTCTTCCTGTAAAAGGATCGATCGAACAAAAGCCGTTATTTATACGACCTTATGACGTCATTGACGCCTGCTGTAATAACATTGCTTTTTTCCACCTCAAAAAAACAATGTGTGGTTAGAACAGCTGCCTGTTGACACAACCTCATCAATCCAGTAATGAAGTGACTATGTTTTGTTGTCATCAAAATACTAAACTTTTTCGATATATTACCATTCTAACCTGTTAAGCGTTAATAAAAATCCATATTTCTATACTTCTGATGAAAACATTTCTTTCCTTCTAGCAATTCTATATGTATATAGAAGTTATCCATATACTAATATAGCCTACATATAGGCTAATTTTGTCTAAAATTAGGCAAAAGTAATCATAACTTTAAACTTCTCAGTGAAGAATTAAAATGTAATCTATCTACTTTAATTATATAAACAAAAGACAAATACCATTTTCTATTTTGGAAAGTTAAAGCATTGAATAAGTTAAGAATATTCATATTTAAATAGGCAGATATAACAACAGATGGAAGATTAAGGTAAGATTAAGAAGTTTGACGACAGAAAATATATATAAAATTTGTGTTTAAAATCAATAAATAATTAATTTAAACTTAATGTGGATTAAGGAGTTGTTGTTGAAGTCTAGCTTAATTAAACATTTGCTAAGAAATTTGTTATTATAAATGCATATACATTAACTAATACTTTTAAAACAATTCGTGTATATTCATTTCTAATATAATATGTAAATTGAATATTTTATGTTTGAATATTAAGAAAAAAAACGTTATATTTTTTTTACTTAAAGTAATCTTTTTAGAATTTAATCTCTAAGAAATCAAACCCAATTATCAGAAATTGTTGATGATAGATTTCTACATAAAAACTCTCATCTTAAAATTTGTATAATTAATTTTATGCTATATTTTTTATCCGTAAAATTCTTTTTTAAGCATAATAGTTTTTAATTTATTTTAATTTACAAAAAAAATCATATAGTTTTATATAAAAAAATTTATCCTAAATTTTAATAACTTAATTTCGTATAGAAGTAATCAGCAAATTTTATAAATTCATCAACATTAAATCCTAATAACGTAATCTCAGGTGTAAAGCCCATTTAAATCTATAAAACCCAAATCCATAGGGTTTTATATTTTAATTAAGTCTTATATTATTCATCTACAAGAAATTGAAGACGATTATTCGATATGTAAGCTGATAAAAATTTTATGAAAGTTTAAATTTGTAAACATTATTAATTAAGTTTTATATTTATTTAAAAGAAGATATTTTAACCGATTTATTTCAAATGTCATATTTTAATTAGCATTACATTCACCTGAATTTTGTAACAATGCCCTGTTTGGAAATGATATCCATTGAATTCCAAATGCAAACTGACATCAATAAATTCTGGTAATTAATTTTAATGTTTCTTTGGAGATGATTTGTTTTAATACATTATAAATTCCCAACAAACTCATTTATAAGTAAAAATTCATTAAATGGTAGATTTATTTAACCTTGCTGTATGTCTTTCCTTTTCATAAATCTTAAAGTTTAGGGAAAACTTTAACCAGTATTTCTAATTGATTTATTCGGAAACCTGTGAAAAGATCTTCTTTACCTGTCTAACGTTTCCTAATTAGAGACCGGATTCGGTAATAGGAAGTCATATAATTAACGAGCATTTCCGAACAGATCGTCACGGATGGCAGCCATCTTGGATGACATATCTTCCGTCCATAATTAGTCCATGTATACTCATCCAGATGGACATCATTGATTGTAACGGTTAGTACGTTACTATCGAGGAACCAGTAATTCTCCAGATGATTTGAAATTTCTCAGATTAGCACGCTTCGCTAACTTCGATGTTAATCTATAAACCGAAATCTGTGGAGAATATCTTCTAATTTCTTAAAATGTAAATTTATATTATATAAATGAATTTATGAATTATCGAAGAGAATCAATTATTATAAAATCTATTATTAGAAATAATTTATATACTTTTGAATTTGGTAAAAGAATATGTTACGCTTATTTAAAATTTTATTCGAGCTATACAATTCCTGTTTGGAAGTTCCTGAAAGCCATTCTTGTGTCTAACATACACACACACACAAAAAAAACATAGTTGTAGTAGAAAGAATTGATAAGTTCCTTTTACATAGAATCTTTTTTACTTTTATGTTTTGTGATAGCAGATGTTCGTAGAAAAACTTTTACCCAAATACACAGTCTACAACCTTCTTGCAACCGCTGTATAAATAGAAATTTGTATACAGAAAATCGTCGATATAAAGAAAATGACGTGGTAAATCCAATACTGGTGCTACTTTCAATCATTCTAAACTCGACGATCCTTCTTTGAAAAATCAATCGAAAATTACTAAACAATATGAAATTGTAATTCGCCTACAATATTGTAAGATTTGGTCCATTCCAAGTTCAATTTAAAATCTTATAAACCGTATTTAGTTAATCACCAATCAAACTTCATGAAAATTTCTAATACTTGACTCAAGTACTCCTTAGAAGTTTGAATTAGATTCTTGATAATTACAATTAGCTTTCGGCTAACTAATCATATAAAGGTTTATGATCTACAATTATACTCTTCATAAAAGATTACTGTGCCTGTGCTACATTAGTAGAATCCAATAAATAAATTTCATTTTCTTCATTTATTGCACGGAACAGTAGTTTCGATGGCATTTAATTTAACTCGATATGTAATTTATGATTTCAAATGTAATATTTTCTTCGGTCTTAAACGATTAATCATGAATTGTAAATGTAAAAAAAAAGGTTGAATATTTGTTAGAAGTATTAAAATTTTGTTAATAAAGTAAGGAAAAGATCTTTAAATTAAAAGATTTCTCTTTCTGTAATTCTGACTGGAAATTCTTTAGATATCGCGTTGTAAGAAAAGAAAAAAAGGAAACACTTTGACAAGACTATTTCCTTTGAGAGTTTACTTTTCATTGATTCCTTATGGTATTATTGACGTGTATCCGAGTTCTGAACTCAACTTCATTAAGTAAAACAATAACGTAAAATTAAAACAAACAATTAGAAAACTTTACTAATTGCTCGATATTCTTTAATTAATATATCTCGACCATTTACATAACGTATAGTTGGATTTTCTAACAACTCTCTGGAGAGCAATTACACTAAACAATTCAAAGGGAAAATAATTAATACAATCGGTTGTAACTCCAGTAAATTATTTTACTTTTGCAAACTAATATAATTCGAAGATATTTTAACCTTTAAAAAATATTTTTTAATAATAATAATTTAATAGTTGAAGTGTTAAAAATTTGTTGGAATTTCATTTTATTGTTAAAAGTAATTTAATAAGTGCAATATTTTTTTTCGCAGAAGAAAGGGAGAAAAAAGAAGTCGTTCATAAAAACTCTTTCATAATAACATCAAAATCCATTTTCCAACGTTAACAAGCATTCTGTTTGAAGTGTTTACTTTATTCTGCTTTCTTAACGTTTTGTCGATCATTATCCATTTCGACTTCCTTATGAGTCACAAATGCCCTCGTTCTCCTAGAGCAATAGTTACTGCGACATCAATAGATGCTATCCTGTCGAACGAGTACTAAAGAGATTGTAACTCTAATGGACAGTGTTGTTTCCATTACTAGAATCTTGAACAGTATAGACTTTCTCCCAGTTAGTATAACTAAAGCATTGTTAGTTGCGCCAGAAAGTAAAATCTTTTTGTCTTCACTGCATTTCGTTTCCTAACGACCAGTAAACTTTTCTTTTAAGCTGTCTTCACTTAACTTCCTATAAATTTACTCATTTTCTTCCCCTTCTCTTTCTTCTTTCTTCTTCTCTTTTGTACAGAATTTCAGAAAATAGCTAAGATTATACATAATACTTTTCCCGATTTTTAGGTCAGGAGGTACCAATGAAACATTTGTCCGTCCACGGATTGCTTCCAGACACGGAATTCTTCATGACGTATGATGGTTCTCTAACAATGCCTGGATGCTATGAAACAGTTACATGGTTAGTAATGAACAAGCCCATTTATATCACCAGACAGCAGGTTAGTGTATTTTTCTTTTTCTAATATTTTTATAACAAATGTTTCTATTGTAAAATATAAAATCTTTATGACTTCTAACGTTTAGTACTAAATAGTTTTGTGAAATGATGTCTACAGCTATTGAAATTTGGAAAATAGCCATTAAACCAAGGAGTCAACAAACGTTATATCTTTCGTTTCTTGTGTTTCGCGCGATTATGCAAATTATTTTATGGCTAATCGAAGCAAATTTGCCGATTTTAGACAAAATTTTTGCACTTGTTATAAAAGCGAATTCGTGAAATTGGGCAAATGTGAAAACATTTATAAATAAAAATTTTGTTTAGCTTTTAAAATCAGAATAATTAAGCATATATTAACTCTATATAACATCAAATCTTAACATATTAAATATTCTTTTAGTTTATAAAAGTGACCGTCGTCAGTAGCTATCGTTAAATTATACATTTTAAGAAGTTATGAGTTAAAATTTAAATATTTTATTCATTTAAGAATTTCATTTACAGCAGCAAACATGTTAATCAACTCGAGTTTAAGCAAAATAGTAAAATTAATTTTAATTTCAAACCTTAATGTTTTCTACGAAACTTTAAAAGTATTTTTTATTCGGTTTTTTTTTGTTAATAAAATTGCATTATTTATTTTCTATTTTCTTATTTTAAGTGATTTTTCAACATATCGATAGAAACTTGGCATTTTTAAAACTATTAAACCATGAATAAAATATATTTTGGCATAGACTTTCTTTTTTATTAGACCACATTCTTTAAGTACGTGCCGTCTCATATACCATACTAGTGTACCTTTGGGGGTAAATCTCTCATTCTCAATAAGATATGATAGCCATATCACAGTCAGAAAATGGCGCAGTAATTTTTAACCAGGTCAAAGAAGCCGGAATACTGGACCGTTATATTTTCTATGCTTCATGGATCAGTGATATATATATAAAGTAGTATAATAAAAATATCTTATTAACATGAAAGATGGTGCGCGAAATTGGTTTTACAGCCAACAGCTCATCTGGTGGTGTGCAAATGTTCATTTAACGTTACGGACCATTGATTAAGAAGTTTGCACTTGAGGCAACTCAATTTTATGTAGAAATCATCTCCCCCCGTTTTTTTAAATAAATAAATAAATAACTATTTTAAAAAAACCATAATTTATAATTATAAAGAAGTAATTAAAAATTGAAATAGATTCTGTAGAAATTCATTAAGGAAGATAGAGAAAATTAATAGCTTTCACATGGCAAATACTGTTATTTGTTGGTTTGTACAATAATGATTCTATAACTGAGTTATTAATGTGATCGGATGTCACCAGCTTCTGTTAAATAAATCCAAATTCAAAGCAATTTGTCTCTTAGGAGTTATTGTTGTCACTCTGCAGGAGACCAATCGATGTACGCAGCAGGATTTCGGCAGAAGATGTGTCATTTTAGATTAAAACCAACATCGAGCGAAACTCGTGACCATAAAGCTCTTTCTATTTTAATCATTCATTTTATTCTTTATTCATTAAATTTTGATAACTTTATATATTTTTTTTTAAAACTTGAAAAGTTACTTTCTATAAGTAAATTAATATAACTTATTTACTCTCATCAATTTTTTTTAAATCCATTTGTATTTGCTGATTAAATTTGGATAGCTTTTATTCAATTTTGTTTTGTAAGTATAAATTTTACTTTCAAACCACAAAATCAGAGGCTTTCCGACACTGTGTATCCAGCGTGGCTTCATCCATTGACGTCAATTGATCGGAGGTTTCAAGAGTTTTTATTTTATTCATTAAATCAATAATAATTATATATAATTTAATATTAAACTTGATATACATACATATAGATATATCAAAAAATAAATACAAAAAAGCTGTAATTTTCGTCATAGGTCATAAATTTTGTCACTACTCCACTACAAATAAATGCATAAAAACACTAAAATTTATATACTTGTAAATATTTGTTAAGACGAGTAAATTTTAATTTACTTTTTAAAATGAATAAATTTAAAAGTTATTTTTAAATAACAGGATTCTATTTACAACTTTTATTAAAATATATTTCATATAATTATGTTTTAAATTAATGTTTAAATTATTTTATTTAATGCTACTATAAAATTCAGTTTACTGAAGTTAACTTTCATATAAAATGTTTAAATTTAAGTAGATTTTATAAGAGAGAGAGAGAGAGAGAGAGACGTAATTTTAACACAAATTTTTGCATTTTTTTTATCTAGAAAACTTTATTCTTTATAGTAAATTCTTTTAAAAAATAAAATAAAAAATAATAGTCCTGTCAATTATACTAAAATAAAAACTAAAATTTTATCATTAATGTCACACATAATCCAGTAATAATTTGACATAAAAAAATATGTCAACTTAGTAATGTTTTTAATAAATATATAATTTTATTATTTAAATAAATACATTTAACTCCATCATTTATATCTGGAAATGTCGAATTAACAAAGTAATTAAACTTAAAGCAATAAATATTTCAATCTTTTCTATAAAGATATTATCGATAAATTTATTTTAGTATCAGTATTCGTGTCCTCACCGATTACAGCTATAGCAATAATAAGTTTATTGATTATAGTATAATAATAAACGAAATAAATGCATTAGATGACCGAACATTAAAGCAACTACCTAACAACTCTTCACCATTCTAATTACTGACATCAAAGCTAAATTGCAGGTGATTTCTATAATTATTATTAATTATCTAAGTCGATTGCATAGTTGACGAATATTGAGATGAAACAGAATCTATCCTCTCATCTAATATGCAAAAGTCGAACATTTATAAGAACTTGTACGCTGATTATTGTTTGAACTTTGCGTAATAAATTGCAATTTATATCAACTAGAATCGGATTTCTTACCATTTTCATTAATATTATATTGCATTAATGCCAAACTATTCGGTTAATATTTTAAATTTATTATACGTAACTTCATATGTATAGATTCAAAACTCATCAGAGCTTTGTACAGAAGTTTAATGAGAAATAAAACTAGAGTAAAGAGAAATCTTTAATCATTTTTTCATGCAAAGTAACGAAAGAAATTTTTATTTTAATCTAGTTTAATAGAGATTAAAACTGGTAAAATGTAGAAAGTATAGTTTTAATATATTCGAAACTGATCATTATAGTTAAAATTGACTTACAAATTGAAACCCTTCTATTCAATTGTATAAAATATGGAAAGATTATTTGATGAGAAATCAATAGTCTATTTTCGAATAAATTGGAAAGTCATCAATATGATGATTATCCATTAATGATAAAATTATGCGGCATCATACCATTGATTCAAATTACGATAGTATTATTTTTTGGTCGGTTCTGAAAGAAATTCCAAAAAAGAATATCTTTGCAACTCTGAACACAAATTTCATAAGACCTAAAAAATTATAGACCTATATTCACATATAATGAGAAAGTGAGTCATATCCCATAGGATACGAAGCAGCTTTATAATAATTTCTAAATGATTCTCTCTACACTTTTTTCCTAAAATAATAAAAGGATTCTGATGCATCAGCTATAAATATTTTATTTTTAAATCGATTAAGTATCTTCTTTATCATATAAACTTATATTGACTAAAATGAAGGAATATATTAGATCACTATGTAAACTGTGTTTTCGTATATAAACCGAGCTTTAAGCAAAAAAAGGTATCATAACCGTGAAAAAGAATGAGATAAATTATTTTTTAAATGAGTTTCTGTAAAATTTCATTTGATTGTTTTTAACACAATGCAATTCATTATAAGTTACCAATCGATAATTTAATGTAAAGTTTAAAAATAATATGGTTTATTAATTTTCTTTGATATAGTTACACATACTTCGCAAATTAATGCAAGGTGATGAGAAAAATCCCAAAGCTCCATTAGGGAACAACTATCGACCTAGTTTACCACTAAACCAACGCGTTATCAGGACGAACATAGACTTTCGAAGGAGCGAGGTATGTGATGTCATTTCTACAAAATATTTCTCCTTTGATTCATTTTAAAATAGTGTTCCCCTATTGAACTACAAAAACTATTTTCAGTGATAAATTTCCACCGCTATACAATTTGAACGGCAATATTTTTATTAAATGCCTAACTTTCAATCTTGGTGCAATAATAAAATTACTAAGGAAACTGCTATTAATCGACTTTCCAATATGAAAATGATGAAAACAGACAAAGTCTCTAATCGAAATTTACCTAAAAATAACACAGAGACCAACTTAGACAATCATTAAAGAATTTTTCTTTTAAATCTTCTTATCAATTTTAACTTTCCACCTAAGATGCTATTTCGATCCAATGCCTGCTCTGCCTACCAAATCGACTTTCGATTCTCAGTATTTTTCTTGTATTATTTATTACTCTTACTCAACTGCAGAAGTCCTTTATCTCTTAGTTTCAGATCATCGCAGATTCCCGGCCGAATGTAGGTCACACATTTTGCTCTCTTGTGGATATTACTCAGGAACTACTTCATCTATCTATATATATATGTGTGTGTGTGTGTGTGTGTACAGTACAGTGTATATAGTCGCCTGCAACACCCAAAACATTAATAATTCTTCTCTAAAAAATTTGTAATTAATGAAGTTAAATCGATAAATTCATTTTTTAAAACATTTTCAATAATTTCAAATACTTTTCTTTTATTCTTTTATACAGGGCAAAACCTGTCCTACTTTGTATAAAGATATGCAATATCAAGGTAATTATTTGTTAATATTTATATATAATTATATAAAATTGTTAATTAATTTAAATTGTGCGAGAAATTATATGCAAAGATTAAATTAAATACATTTTTCTCCCATTTTTTTGAGCAAATAATAATGTTTTGTGAGAGTTATTTGTCATTTATTTACATAAAGCCATCGCATTAAATGATGGTAATTTTAATTAAAAAGAGAGAATTATTCTTGAAACATTTAGAATATCTTACTGTAATGTTTGAGGAACAATTAACGATAATTATTCGTAAATTATACTTGTAAATAATTCTAAAAATAACTAAATGTTACATAAAGAATGAATCAAAACTTTATCGTTGAAGACTGCTACCGAGCTTACAAATCATAAATCAAAATAATTGAATGTTGAATTTAGTAACATTTCTATTTACAATTCTTCATGCATTGTTTTGAAATTAAAACGACCTCCAGGGCGTTCCTTTCAACGAATTTGCTTTTTGAAATATTAAATGAAAGTAAATTTAATTATAAAGCATCTTAGTTCATTTGGCTTTTACCTGGAATTTTAATGAAATGTTACAAACATGACTATTTGAGTATTAAAGAGCATTTTAATAAGGTTTGCACGAAATTTTCTTTCGAAATCTTTATTTACTGTAACTGTTGATAGCTTAAATTCGTTCATTAATACTCGTTTAGTCTTTAATGAAATACTTTTATTTAATTCTTGTCGTTAAGTTTGAAGAAATAAATAGTAAAATAGGGTGATTTAAAGTTAATTTATTTCCACTTTT